GATTTGAAAACGAATGTACATGCTACTCCTGAGATAAAATTACCTCTCAAAAGAATCAGTAGTGAAATATCGCGTGTCCAAAATCGTACTTACTATTGGTGTGTATTTAAGAAAAGAGCAACGTGCAAAAATATTGAAATCGAACTATCAGAAAACAAAGTTGCAGATAATAAAGAACATAATGAAAAGGATACCAAATGTGAAGAAGAAGATTTATCGAAAAAAGGAACATCAACAGTGAAAGAAATATGTGTAAAATCTGAAGATCTACAAATAAAAAAATTAAAATGTTCTCACAGGGTAAACAAGGATTTGATCAAAAGTAAAAAATGTGTAGGACATTTTAATTTAAGTATAGATCGAAAGATTATGAAAATAAGAAATACAGCCAATAAAAAAGTAGCAATCAGAAAGTGTATCACAAAAAATGCCACGAAGGAATTAATAATTAAGCAGGAAAATGAAAAGGTCAAAAAACTTACTACCATTGTTACAAAACAGAAGAATGATTCAACAATAACAAACATTATGAATTCAGAGCCTATTAAGGACACTAAAAATGGTCAAAAAAAGGTGACAAAAAAAATAGTTAAGAGAACACAAAAAAGTAAAAAAATAGTGCCCATTTTTCAACATATAAAAAGTAACTGTAATATGAGCAAAGATAGAGTATATAGCAAGATTCAGTATAAAAAAAATAATAAATAGGATGAAGACACTCAAGAAAAAATAAATGCATGCATGTGAATATTAACATGTATCTACCATAGAAAAAAAAAAAAATGTTACATAAGTTTTACTTTTATTTATCTTATATAATTTTAATATATTAAAGAATGGAAATAACTTATTTTATATATTATAGACAACGGTATAAAAGATAGAGAGAAATCTAGTACACTTCGTTAAAAGGAAGGAGTTTGGAATACTTAAAAATTCTTAAGTGATAACTCTACAAATGCTACAAATGTCTAGTGCAGAGCTATATATTATGCAGTTCAGAAATTTAAGCACACAAGACAAAGACCAGAACAATTGGATAACTATAGCAGATAATCCAGATCGATGGCACCATTGCAATTGTTAGGTGTGAATGGGAGGGAGGGAGGCACATTATCAATTGCATCATGTAGTGATCATTGAGCGGATTTCATGCGTAGCTACCAATGTGTTATACAATAAGTTATAGAAAAATTCATTTAATTGCGCAATTCAAATATGAACAAGCATAAGATAATTATAAAGTATAAGAGAACATGAAAACGAAGATATGGATATGTGAGAATAATTAATAGAATATATGTCACTATATGAGTCAAGAATAAATATATATTAAATTATATATAAAGAAAAAAAAGAGAGAAATATATAAACCCTTAAGAAAACTTTCATTATATTAAAATAATAGATAATAACATATATTATCTTTCTCAAAGCTTGATATAAAAAAATTTATAGCTTACATGAAGTATTTTCATTATGACTTATAAAAAAGGTCGTCTATTATACCTCAAGAAGAACACATTTTAATATGTCTAAATATTACATATAAGAACAATATACATGAAGAGTTAATAGAGCTACATAAATAAGCATGTTTTCCGTATGTCAAACAAGTAATGATTATGCATATTATGTTTTATCATTAATGTTTGACACGAATGTGTATATCCTTAGTGTTTTATATATATATATATATATATATATATATATATATATATATATATATATATTTAGACATATATGCATATATATAGACATATTTTTTATTCCTTTTATGTACATAGGACTAGGACAGCTATTGTAGTAAGAAGGGGAATTTACGCCTGTGCACAAGACGGATACTGCACGTCTATAAAAAAAGACGCACATAACTCTACAAGAATAAAAGGGGTTCACATATTGGCCAAGATTTTTTACACATAACAAAATTATGGTTGTCTAATACACCCATATTCAGTCTTGCAGATTATTGACATTAAGACGTTAACATTATTTATTTCCAGGTGTTTACAGTATGCCTATGAACACTTCAATATTATTTACATGCAAACTTTTAGATTATTTAAATTCACACTAGGAACTTCCTCTACAGTATGTATGATTGGGTTTTAATTACGCTTATGTGTAACTATAATATTTTTTCTCCTTATGGATTATTGGGACTTATTTCCCCTTATGGATTATTGGGGCCTATTTCTCCTTGTGGATTATTGGGGCCTATTTCTCCTTGTGGATTATTGGGGCCTATTTCCTCTTATGGATAATTGAAATTTTTTTCCCCTTATGAAAAGCTGATATTTCTCTCCCCTTATGGATTATTGAAGATGATTAGCCTATTTAAAAATTATTGTTGCCCATTTTGTTCAAAGAAATTACAGGAAAAACATTTATTACAATGAAAATAATATAACAGTTCATCTTTCACTCTAAGAAGAAAAACATTAATAACAATGTTTTCCTGTATTGTGCTTAAAATACTTTCCACAAGAAAAATAAATAAAAATAATAAAAAAAAAAATAAAAAATAAAATAAAAAAAAAAAAAAATAAAAAATAAAATAAAATAAAAAAAAAAAAAAAAAAAAAGTATAGTATTTTTTTATGATACTTTTTATTAAGTGGATTATGGGAAGAGTAATAAATTATTAAATATGAGCAACCTTTTTTTAATAAATGTTATATATTAAGCACCTAATTTAAGAATATGTTGGAAAAGTTTGAAGAAATTATTTGTGTGTGTGAAATGTGCATGCATGTTTTGTGATAATTCCTATGATAAGTAATAGGTAATAGAACAAAATGTGAAGCATTAGTATTAATGTGTTAAGGGGACACTAATTTTTACAGGGTATCAATGTCAAGAGTGTACTAACATGTATGGGGATTATTAACGAATTGTTTGTTTCTTTTTTTTATTGTCAAAAAAAAAAAAAAAAAAAAGAAAAAAAAGAGGAAGTAACAAGAATTATTTTAATGAAGCACATTTAGAGTCTTCTGAAGCATAGCACAAAATTTGAATTATGAACATGGGCAAAATTATGGTAGAAGTACATATCAGTAGGATAAAAGCAAACGAGAAGTTTGGTACAAAAGTGTAAATGCAAATATGGTGTGACAAAAACAACCCCCCAAAAAAGGAAAGCATAACGAAGATTCAGTGGGCATGGATCTAGGCGAAAATGTGACTCTAAAGCAGTGTGAAACATTTCCACACATTTATATATATATATGTGTACGTTTGTATATATGTGGAAGAACTGGATGAGACTAGCTCCCCTTGAGATAATCGGAGAGTTCATCACGTATTTCCATTTCTCGTAATGTATAACCTATTATTAACTGCCAGAAACAAATATATGTGAGCACGGAACCGCTTATATATATTAATTCATTTGATAAGTTTTTATTAATATTTAATGTCATGCCTTGTATCACTAACTCTACAATTTTTTTTGTTGCATCTAGGACTAATGCTCCTATGTTATCAGTTAATGAACGTAATTGTATATCCGTTAGTGACTTGATATATGAAAGTAAATCATCATTTAAAATTGATTTATTTTCTTTTAACATTTTTATCTGATTTTCTAAAGACATAATTTTTTTTCGTAAAAATATAATATAATTTTTTGTGTTAATTATTGGAAAGTTATCACTTGCGTGATTCTTACATTTAGCGTAAGAGGTACTTTCTGGTTGTATCTGATTGTCATCATGATTATACTGATCTCCATTTTGGTAGGATGAGTAATTGCTATTATCATCCTGTAGGTTTTTACTTGTCAAAAGTTTTTCAAGGTCATAATTTTTTTGTTTATCAGCCTTGTTCTGATTTAGTATGTGCGGGTTGCAATTATTTTGATTATTTAACTCACATGAGTTTAGAGTTTCTTCTCCACTTTTTTTGTGTTTATCAGCAAACAAACTATAAAACGATTTTTTTAAATTGAAAAAATCGTCTTCCTTTTTATTTATAATATTATTTTGGTCGTAAAGCGACTCATTTAGGCTTAGTCGATAATCTGCATTTTTTATCATATACCCAGTAAGGATAATCTGTAGCAAAAAATTGTATATTTTTTCGTGTGTAATTAAAATAGACGTTTCGATTGTATATTTTTGAATATTTCCTATGATATTAAAGATAATGTTTTTTACGGCTTCTTTAACCCTTTCTGACGTGTTCTCAAAGAATCTATTAATTAATTCATTTGGGGGGATACTACATATTTTATCAAAATATTTATTGTTACTATTTTCAAAGGATTTATTATTGAGAGGGAAAAACAGAGGGAAATCTTTGCTTTCTTTTGATGTAAAAATGTTATTTATGCTATCATTAATTGAGGGGGGGGTTGAGGGACCCCCGTTGTTTCTTCTATTCTCGTAAAATCTATTATGCGCATTTTCCTTTTTTCCATTGTTCATGAAAAAAAAGTTCCCTCCTTGCCCTTCTTCGTGGTTGTGTGCATAATCAAGGTGGCTGTATTTGTCTTTCCCCTGTTTTTCATCACCATTTCGGTTTTCATACGGGTCATAGGGATTGTATGAGTCATATGCGTCATATGAGTCATCGTCCTCCTCACCTTCGTCGTCGTCGTCCTCCTCCTGCTCCTCCTCATCATCATCACTGCCTTCTCCATTTTCGTCATCCCCATTTTGGTCATTTCCATCACCATGCTGCTGTTGCCCCTTCCCTTTATCGTCGTTTTGGATTATGTTCTCAGATTCCATCGTATTGCTTTCACTTGTTGAATCCATACTTAAACTATCATTCCCATTTCTGAAAGAGTGGCTTATATCTCTTTTTCCTTTTTTCCTTAAATTACTGTTCAAATCTTTCAATATTTCTTTTTTCCTCTTACGCTCAAAATACTTTTTCCATTTTTCATTTTTCTCATCTATTATTCTGTCATTATTCCCGTGATCTGTTTCCTCGTTTGGGTCCTTTGAAAAATTGTTCTTTCCATTATCATTGTTAAATATTTTAAATTTGCTACCTTTCAAAAAAGAAGCATTATTTGAATTCAACAGTGGAATGGTGTGGCTTTTAATTTCATGTGGTAGGTAGTTCACTTTGTGATGTTTTACAATGAAAAATTTTTGTGATATATTCTTGATTTGGGTATACGAATTTCTGAATAGAAACAGATATTTTTTTCTATTTTTCACATGGATTTTAGTTTTATGGCCAATTTCTGGAAATTCTTTGTAAAACACAACTGTGTTGTTTTTGCGACTCTTTACATGCTCAAGTAGGAAGGTGTACGTAAATGATAAAACAATGAAGCAATCAATGAGAAGAACATAAATTGGTCTTGGCATGATATATTTTTTTTGGGGGTCTTAGGATTTGGAGTTCTGGTTTCCACTTCTTTCAGTTTTCTTTTAAGGCTGGCCCACTTGTACGATTTGCTTGCCTTTTCCGTTGGCCCACTTGTACGATTTTCCTGCCTTTTCCGTTGGCCTACCTGTTCGGTTGGCCTCCCTTTTCAGATTTTCCTTCAGTTTTGTTTATTTATGTGGTTTTCTTAATAATGAAAAGAAGAGAGGAAAATAGAGTACATATCAACATAAATTGAACTTTATTGTGTATGACCCCTGCTGTTCCTACTGCTCCTACTGCTCCTACTACTCCTACTGCTCCTACTGCTCCTACTGCTCCTACTGCTCCTACTGCTCCTACTGCTCCTACTGCTCCTACTGCTCCTACTGCTCCTACTGCTCCTACTGCTCCTACTTTGCTTTCTACCACTTAGTATAACCCCGTATGTTGTTATTCTGTTTTTGTTACGTCCTTCTATATATAATAAATGTACGTACATGAATATATATATTTAAATGATATACACATATTTTGTATACAATTGTTTATATATTCATTTTCCCCTTCTGCGTCAGTTCATTTCAGAAAACAGTGATACACCGAAGTGAGTATTTTTTTTTTTATTAACTCATCTTCGTTCCTTCATTTTCTCTCTCTCTTTTTTTTTTTTTTTTTTATTTTAAATATGTTAAAAATATTTGCCAAAAGAATAAACTGTTGTTTAATTCTCAGCATGAAAATTTAAACCAAAAAAGAGGGACGGAAAAAAAAGAAACTTAAAGCAACCACTTTTTATTTTATTTTATTTTTTTTGCATAACTTGTAAAAACTAGGAAAATACACTTTAACAATGGTACAATATTGAAACAGGAAATTTTTTTTTTTTTAAAAAAGCTGCATCGGAATATATTTTTGCTATGGATTAAATGAATAATAAACGTGTATATATATTCAAATACAAGTTAAAGTATGGATGTTCGTGAATAATCACTAATATCTAAAAGGTGATGTGCATATGAAAACACGTGGAATTACATATGTTAAAAGTCCCCAAACTTTCACAACTCCACCTAATGAAGTAGAAAAAAAAAAAAAAAAAAAAAAAAAAAAAAAAAAAAAAAAAAAAAAAAAAAAAAAAAAAAAAAAAAAACCTATTATACACAACAAGGTGAAAATATTGATACAGTCTAATGATGAGGTCACGAGTGATGATCTTAACCCTTTATGTATTTAAGCGTATAAGCTTAGGTTATAAAAATATATAAGGAATAAAATAATGCTTCAAAAAAATATTTTTGCAGTTTCCTTTTTTTTTTCTTTTTTTCTCTTCATTATTTTATATTAAACTGTACACAAGTTGGATAATATAACCTAACAAACACACACGTCGTAATCAGAGTATCATTTAAGCTTTAATAATGGAGATATTATTTTATTCGCAATTACGTTAGTATAAGCAAACATAGTTAAGTGTGGTGTAGAGCTAATAAACGAGACGTTGACAAATGTATACATATATGAACACTCATACATGAATGGGCCAAAAAGGGGACAAACTAATGAATGAAATGAAATGTACAGATAATGATAATGCCTCTTCCTTTTCCTTTTTTTTCTTTTTCCAAATAAGTGTAAATTCCAGGTAAATGTAAACGTCCCTTCCTATTCCCTCCCCATTACCCTTAAAAAAAAAAAAAAAAAAAAAAAAAAAAGAATAAATAAGCAAAGCAGATATGATGATACGTATGAAAATTTTACACACTTGGTTGCTAAGATTCCAAATCAACGTCTTTTTTTTATGTCCTTTATTAAAACTTTTTAATACTATTTTATAATTATTCAAAACAATATCACTTTCATTTTCCTTATTTGTTTTAGAATTTCTGGAACTTTTTTTTTTCCATTCCCAACGTGGTATTATGAATTTTTGATTTTTTTTCAGTTTCTTGGGCTTTTAATTTTTGAAATTTTATTAAATTATCCGAGTACTTTAATTTCCATTTTAACAATTTCTCAGAATCTTTTATTGCAAGATTAGTTAAGTTTAAAAAGGATGAATTTAAATTATTATTGAAAGAATTTATCCAACATTCATCAGAATTATAATCATATGTTGCCCATTTGAATGCATTTTTTATTAAGGCTTCATGGGGATAACCTCTTAATACGCGTTTGCTAATGCGTTTAAGATATTTTTTACTTTTTTTTAATCCTAAATTTTGGTTACTTTTTGATGTATTAATATTTGATCCTAATATATCTTTTAAAGTAACTTTATCATATTTCCAATATTGGTCTATAGGTATATTACCTAACGGTTGAAAATTCATGTACCATTTTTTTTTTCCTTGATGATCATAATTACTTAATAAGCTTCTTCTATTTTCAATTTTATTTAAATCGTCATTTAAGTTGTCTACTTCTAATCTTCTAAATATATGATTCCTAAATCTAACTAACTTTTTTTTCAAATTGAATCGGTAGTCTATTCCACTTATGTTCCGTTCTTCTGGGTAATTAAATGGACAATAGTTTTTAAAGCTCATTTTGTTAAATTTATCAAGTTAGTTTCAATTTATATATATATATATATATATATATGTGTGTGTGTTTTTTTTTTTTAATCTGCATTCCATGTGTAATACTTATCCCCTTAGTTAGAATTGTAATTTAAAGGGAGTCACATAGATGAGTGTGAAACCGGGGTGGGACACAGAAAAGGGAAAAATGAAAAAGTAAGAAAAAGCGTAAGGTAAGAAAGATGTGAAAAAATACAGCAATTTTCTCCTGGTTAGCAAGGTCTTCTAAAGTGGTCGTCCAGGCTTTATCCCGCGAGTTAGTTAAGTTATCTCTTATTTGAAAAATGGAACTAAAAAGATGCAGAAGTTTTAATATATATATATATATATATATATGTATGTATGTATAAACATATATACGTGCGTATATGTGTGTATAAGTATTTGTGTAATCACCATCGTGTGGATCAATTTTAAATTCCCCACGGGGGGTTAATTTGGATAGCGGGACATAAGCATTTGTTTCATTATATTGACAAATTTCATGGAAATGATCCAAAGCATTTTTAGTTTTTTAATAAAATATGGGCTATACGCACCTTGAGATGGGTCTATAAAAATTCGTGAATCATTTACAGATAAAGTTTTAGTTTTTCGTTTGACGAGATTAATGAAGAATTTGTATAGTTCTGATACGTGTGATATTTTGTGGCTATTCGAAAAATGAAGGACAGGGGTTATGGGGTCTCGGTTCATTTAATAAATATGAAGTTACATGCTAACATATAATCCAAAGCACAATATTTTAGCTTAACATTTCTATAAACATTTTTTTCTTGAATATATATTTCTTTAACCTTTTCGTGTCTTTGTACATTACCTAAATTGTGCGTTTGATTTTGTATGCGTCAAACAAATCGGGGAATTTATTCACAAATTATTCCAGCATACTTAATATATATGACCATGACATGCATTCTTTAAATGGGTTAAAAGGATGTGAAAAGGGTGTGTATTTAAACGTCAGTAGAATTTAATTATGACGCAATGACAAATGCTTTTAGTTGATTTGAAATGGTCCTATTTCGTGTCGACGAACTCTCGATATTATTTTTATTTTTCTCTTCTTAGTGATATTGATCTTTCCTTTCTCCTAGCGCATTCAAGTTTACCTTTATTAATTTTCCATAATTCAAACTTTATATTTTTCCTTTTTCGTAACTCTTCATACATTTTTTTTTTTTTTTTTGCAACTTTTTCTTTTCTTCAACACAAAAATTATGATGAATAGTGAGATTTTATATTTGAGCAATTATACATGCCTTTTATACACATGCATATATATAGCTTGTACCCATGCGTATGAACAAGAATTGGTGCACATTCTTTTTTATTTACGTAAGAACAAGAACAAAAAATTCATTTTTATATTTTACTTTTTTCCTGGCGAAAAATTATAAATATTGCGAAGGGCGAATTGTTAAAATTTACCTCATCAGAGAAATAATGAAAAACATGTAACTCATTTGACAAGTGAATAGTGGGGTAGGATTAACCTTAACATATATGTGACAATGTACGTTATGATTATGTACTTGTTTTGCTCCCTTTTCATTGCTTGACTGTTTGACTGCCGTTTTACCTGCATTTGTGTTTTTCCATTTTCCCCTCCTTTTGGCTATTTACATCATTGCGCACACACGTGCCAAGATATATACATGTATGTACTACTTAGGAGAACATTTAAGTACATGAATTTGTACACTCATACATGTTTGTGTATATAAAATGCAATGCCCTTCATGAAATACACTAGTTTAGCAGGCATAAAGAATTTCACATTATGAGATGAAGTTCGGTGTGTGAATATATACGAATATACATATATGTGCATTCCTTTTTGTGGATACTTGTGTTTATACGTATTCATAAGAGCACATATATATATATATATATATATATATATGTTTGGGTATATTTGGAGGCCAGAGTATAAAAACACATTATGCACACAACTCATTCGAACCTGTAGAGTAAATGATAACCAGTTCGTAATACACATCACAAGAAATGGATGCGAATTAGGCCGTGTAAGGGTAATGTAAATTACGCAAGGTTACGTGAGACAGTTTTTAGATGAAAGTATATTATGTACAGTTAATTTTTTTTTTTTTTTTTTTTTTTTATGGTCAAAATTTTGCAACTCACAGAAAAAAGTGTGCCTATAGTAATGCTGATTATTTAACGCTTTAATTAAAAAAAAAAAAAAAAAAAAAAAGGTAGACCAAATTATGGTATATTTTATTCACATTCTATAAAAAAAATGGTGAGAGGAGCAAAAATAGGTTTTTACCTGTTGTTATTACTACTAAATTATACGTATGTTAACGCAGCATATTTTTATGTGAAGGAAGGGGTAGAAAAATGTTTTGTGGAAAGCGTTGCAAGCAATGTTGTGATAACATCGTCCTATGATAATTATGGATTAAAAGGCAAGGATGTTTTTTTTTTTTTTTTTTGCTCATATATATTAACTCGTTTATATACAAAATTGTCTGCTCTTGCACATTTTCCATTTTTACGAGTATATATAAAGACCAAAACTGATTTAGAACAAGTGGAAAAATTAAAAAAAAAAGAAAAAATATATGCTTCGTTTTTTTTTTTTTTTTTTTTTTTTACAGAATTAAAATGCCTCATCAATATAAAAGACCAAAAGGGAAGAGTTTTGTATTCCCATGATACCTCTCAAATTAGTAAAGGTAATATTCATTTATTATACTATTCTCCAGATGCTGTTCTTTACTTTCACATATGTGTTTGTATAGAATAACCTAATTCGTATTAGATACGTGACTGATTTCATTTCATGATTAAACATACGCAGGAAAAGTGTCCTACTTAACGAAAAAGAATGGGATGTATTATATCTGCATTTCTTGCCCTTCGTCGAATTGGTTTAAAAGCACAGCAATAAAATGGAGTTTATCCATAGAAGTTGGTGGATCAGATGTGGATTTAGAAAATGCAGCTAAAAAATCAGAATTGAGTGAAACTATTGCGACTTTGGTAAATCTAAAAAAAAAATTTAATTCAATGAAGTTGCAGCAGATATATCAAAAGCAAATGGTATGAAACAGGAACTATTACATCAAATATTTTTTTTGGCATAGACAAAAAAGTCATGTGTATGTGAGAAAGAATATGCCTTTGTTTAACGAATTTTTTACATTTGAGAGGCTTATAAGCATCATGTTCATGTTTACACACATGTGCATATATGTATATATATTTTTGCAGCCAAACATATTTTACACAAAAAATACACATTAAGGCACTCCCGTATATCCCCTTTGCATTTCATAGGCAACCAACCTATACGAACATAACAAATCAGTGCAAGATAAGATGTTTTATTGCTACATAGTAGAAATCATAATACTAGTGGCAGTTACCATTTATTCGATTGTACATTTAAAAAATTATTTTAAGGCCCAAAAATTGATGTAGTGAGAAGACACATTAGGGCAACATTTTTGAATATTCATATTATAAACGTGTCTTATCCAATTCGCGATATTTTGCTCGAATATTTTTTGTTAGTACAATGTTTTTGTGCTCATTTTTTTAGCAATAAATAATACTTTGATTTTTCACATAAAATATATGTTTTTTATTTGGCTATTACACATGATGTATACTCGTAAACTATATAATAACCTTAAAAAAAAAAAAAATGAAGTATAATTCTTAATATTAAAAAAAAAAAAAAAAAAAAAAAAAATGAACGCATATGTATGTGCGTATACACATATATTTAACAATTTTTAAAAAGAAAGCCACCTATAAAGACAATTTGAAATAATTTTAATAAAGAACGAAAGAAAAAGGCTCTTTGGGATATTTTTTAACATTTACATGATCATTAAAAAGGAAAAATGTCAAGTGTACTAGTGTATGTTTAAATGAATATTTAAAAAAAAAAAAAAAAAGAAAAAAAAAAAAAAATGGCCTAGAGTGGTGGAAACACGAGTAAAATATGATAAAAATTAAAATGGTTTAGCATTTGTATACTATTTTGTCCTTCTTTACATAGTAAATTGGTGCACCATCCATTTCGTTTAGTGAATTTATTATTTTTCGTAAGGTGCCTATGTCAAGTTTTGCTAACTGGGGCATTTTCTGTTTGTTCCCTAGGATAATCTATAAAAAAAAAAAAAAAAAAATAGTAAAAATGGATACGCAAAATTATGCCCGTATGTATGTATATGTTTATGTGTATGCCTGTATGTGTGTATATACACATGAAAGTAGTCCATTTTACTGGGTTGCCTTTTGTACAGCTGTTCAGGAGTAGTTCTCTCCCCCCCCCCCCCCCTTGGGGGGTAAGGTACTTACCAAATCCAAGAGTTCCTCGTCCTTCAATCCATCTCCAGGGTCGTTCAAAGTGACATTTTCAACAATAAGACGTTCTATTTCTTTAACATCCAATTGAGGAGATTTTTCACTTGTCTTCTGCATATCGTCTATCATGAACGCTTCTTCATCATTATCTTGAGAGTTATTTTTTCTTTTTTTCTTTTTATTGATTGTTTCATTATTTTTACCTTTTCTTTTCTTTGTTGTCTTTTTTTTTATTGATTTTTTGTTCTTTTTGTATATTTTACTAACCTTTTCATTGCCAACGTAGTCTTCATCGTCTTCATCATCTTCATCATCTTCATCTTCTTCTTCATCTTCATCCTCTTCTCCTGTTTCATTCTCTTCTTCTTCATCTTCTTCTTCCTCCTCCTCGACTTCGTTAATTTCTTCGCCAAAGAGAGTATACATAAGTAACTTTTTAGCATAATTAACATCTACACTTGTTACATATCTATTTAATTTAAGTTTTGCATGTGATGAAGCAATTCGAATGATTGCTTCTAAAGTTCTAGGAGTAACCCCTTGGATAATTTTGTTGTGTGAATATTTGGCTGCTTTTTCTCTTAAATCTGCATACAATTCAGTAATAACTTCACATGCTTCATCACTTACTTCTGGGTATGGTTTCCATCCATCTGTTCTTTGTTTTTCATGATAGAATATATTTTTAACATAATGCAAATATTTTTTAAAAAATGGAACAGTTAAGATTTCATGTTCTATTCCATTTTTATCATAATAAATCATTTCATCTCTGTTAGCAAAAATAGGTGTTTCATATTCTTCATTTTCTTGATCATTATCATTATTTTTGTTTACTTCTCTTTCATTGTACACACTAATATGTTGAGCTTTGGGGTTAATATCATAGCTATCTGCTTGAATAACAAAATTCTTATGATTATTTCTATTTTCACTCATAATTGGTTTTGCTTTTTCTGTAACGTTTCGCAGAACCGAATCAGCAATTCTTTCATCATCCTTTTCAGTTGCACTATCCCTTACTAGAAAGATGAGATCAAAACGTGAAAGTAGAGACGGTTCAAATTGTAACTGTTGACCCATATCAAGTGTATCATTCCAACATCCATATAAAGGATTAGCAGCTGCTAATACTGTACATCTTGCATTTAGGGTGGTATGAATACCTGCCTTAGCCACAGTAACCGTTTGTTGTTCCATAACTTCATGTATTGCTACTCTATCTGTTTGTTGCATTTTGTCAAATTCATCAATGCACACAACTCTTCTATCACCCATAACCATAGCACCACCTTCTACTACTCTTTCTCCTGTATCTTGATCTGTAACAATAGCAGCCGTTAAACCAACACCTGATGATCCTCTACCTGTTGCTGAAACAGTTCCAGGCATGATGCTCATAACATAACGTAATAACTGTGATTTACCACAACTTGGATCTCCTACTAACATAATATGTATATCACCTCTAATATGATGAGATGGTAATGCACGTTCAGTTCCACCTGCTAGCATTAATACAATTCCCTTTTTTACAATATCTTGGCCACATATAGAAGGTGCAAATGAGTATCCTAGTACATCTATTGTATTTTCTTTTTTAGCAAATGCGTGAAAATTTTTTTTATCTGCCTCAGATATGTATAAATTTGTATCATAAGTTTCTTTATTTTTTACTAATACATTATTTGCAATTAAAAAGGACCTACCTAAGCCACTGTTGGTACTGTTGGCTTGTCCACAACTAGCTCGATAAACACCCCAAACTCTTACTCTATCTCCACATTTGACAATGTCACACAAATCATCTTCTACAATTACTTCTACCCATCTTGGCATTTGTCCTGTTGGTGCATCTTCAGGAGTTTCTTGAATAACAAATTTTTGGTGATTTTTATATTTGCATAATCCAATTTCATGTCTATGCATAATTTTCCCCTCTGGATCTGAAACAGGTGGCCTTCCTGAATCTTTTGCTGTTTTATCAAAATCAGTAATATCATAATGTGGTCTCAGATGAACAGTTTTTTCATCACTTCGAATATCAGCATTAATGTCATGTACTGCTTCACCTATATAAACTGATTGTACCAACTTAGGTTGAACAGTAGAACATTTGTTAACAACACCTTCTACTGCTACCAATTTATTGATCATGGAACTTTGCAATCCTCTTGGTGTTACATGATGCCTACCTAACCAACCGCAAATACCAATTTTTGGAGCATCTATATCTATTTTACTATCTTGAGATTTCCATAATTCTTTAATAGCTGCTTGATACGCTGGTAAAGCTAAATATGGTTCTTTTATCAGACATTTGGCCAATAATTCGAACTCTTCATTTCCCGTTTGAAAATTATTTATATTACAAATTAAACGTTGATGTATAATTATATTGGGAATATTTTTATTTTGCATTCTATTATATTCATCATTAGCTTCTGTTCTTAATTCTGTTATTTTTTGATGAATATATTTATTAGTTTGAACAAATAATAGAAACCCTTCCAACAATTGTTTATATTTTTGTTGCGTAAAAACAACACTTTGTCTACCTGATTCATATTCACTTACGATGTTTTCATTTAATTTCTGTAATCTTCTTTCTCTATTGTCTTTTTCAATTCGCATCGAACTGTCCAGAATTGAAGAATGGTTTATAGATGAGTCCATTAACGTGTAGTTAAATTCTGAGTTCATCGTTCTGTAATCAGACCTCGCCATAGGCGTGCTGTTATTTTCCAAGCTCATTCTATCCATGGTTAGTAAGAAGTGTGATGACTGTAATTCAACGATAAAAAAAAAAAAAAAAAAAAAAAAAAAAAATTGCTAGAACTGATGTAAGAAATGAAAAGATACGTAATTCCAAAAAAAAAAAAAAAAAATATACGTGTCCCTATGAAAGAAATTAAACAATATGTTTCCTAATATTAGCAGTTCTGTCGAATACTATATAATTCCAGCGCATGTACACATCTATGTAATGAGTATTAGATGGGTTCTTGTGTAATGAATGCCTTTGGACGAGACTTTCTTTTCATTCATGCTCAAACAATGCTTTTTATTTTAAATGTAATTTTTCATAACTATGTTCTACTTCTTAAAAAGAAGTTATTAGTACATACATATGTGTGTACACGCATGTATATGTATGAAGCGTAATGGAATTACGAAAAATTAACATTTTTTTAGGCACAGAAAGCTGAGTTATTCAAACTCGGAAAATATGTGCATAAGAATTCTGCACTCAATTTACATAATAATTGACAAAAAAAAAAAAAAAAAAAAAATTATTTTAATGAACCAATAAAAAATCACAATGCATGCATATAATTAATATAATACGTTTCCCCTATTATACACTTCATATTTGTACACATTGTGTCGCACATGTTCAATTATGTTCCATGCACATGTCAATGTCAATTAAACTCTTTCCAACTTAAATGCCACCTTGCATCAATGTGAATGAAGCCTTTTTATGTCCGTTTGCAAGGAGAGAAATAAAATAAAATAAGCAAAAAGAAAGAAATACGAAAAATGAGAGAAATACGAAAAATGAGAGAAATACGAAAAATGAAAGAAACACACAAAATGAAAGAAACATGCAAAATGAAAGAAATGCGAACATGAAAGAAATACGAAAAATGAAAGAAATACGAAAAATGAAAGAAATACGAAAAATGAAAGAAATACGAAAATGAAAGAAGTACGAAAATGAAAGAAGTACGAAAATGAAAGAAGTACGAAAATGAAAGAAGTACGAAAATGAAAGAAGTACGGAAATGAGAGAAATACGCAAAATAAAATCGCATAATCAAATACAGAAAAAAAAAAATTACCTAGTTTACTTCTTGAATAAGGAATGTCTTAAAAAAAAAATTTTCTTTTTGAGAAAAAAATAAAAATTCGTGGCTTGTCTTGATTTCATTGCACTATTTTTTATATAGTATTCGCATATGAATATATTATATATGTGCATGTTCCATGTGCATGTGCTTGTTTTCCAACAATTCTTTTTATTTTGTGAATTTCATGAAAACAAAGAATGATTTCCTTTTTAACACGTATAAACGCTCCCATGAATTGCCAAGATAAAAAGGGATAATAACGAAAAAAAAAAAAAAAGGGAAAAGATTTTAATTCCGCATTTAGAAAATTAAAGGATTTATTTTCTGCGGCCAATAAAATTCCTTTGTGCATAATTGCTTTTGTGATTGCACTTGAAAATAACAGAAACCGAATAATCCAAGTTGGCTAATTAATTTTTTTTTCTCTTTTTTAATTTAATTTTTTTTTGTATTTTTTTTCCTTTTTTAAATTGCTATTTCCATTTTACACAAAAAATTGGTCATTAGGAAAAATGTTTTCCCTATATGCCGCCCCATTTTACCACTTACTCCTTCCCCCTCAGACCCAATTTATTTTCATGAATAATAATTAAAAAGTAGAAATTCACATTTAAACCCTCCCCCCGGTCCCCCCCTAACTGAAAAACTGTTTAAAATGTTTTCAAAGGAGTTATAAACATGCTCTCTCACTAGCTTCTCGTGTTTCAACGCAATTTATTTATTTATTTTATTTTTTTTACTTTGTTTTTAGGTATATTATATATATGTATATATTAAAAAAGAACTAAATTTTTCAAAGCTTGTAATATATAGTGGGGGGTTAGGTGCAAAATAGAAGAATTTAAATAAAAGTTTGGTGTGTTAAAAGGATAAAAAATAAATGAAAGTGATAAATATATGTATCTACACACTAATAATTAAGTACGTGACAACAAAAATAAATACCACGTGTGTACAGGGGTTAAAAAAAAAAAAAAAAAAAAAAAAAAATGATCAACATTTCATTTTTTTTTTTTTTTTTTTTTTTTTGTCGCTATAAAGAAGTGTGATTTGCATACATTTTGTTCCATTCCCTCGCAACGTTTTCTGCGTCATTCTTGTCTTGTTTAAAATGATCAGCTACCTTTGAGTCTAACGGATCATCAGGTTCAGGAGATGACAATAGTGCCTGAATGCTCAACAACACTGTTCGAATCTGCAGTGCTGGGCTCCACTTATCTTTTAATATGTCTAGACATATTCGACCTAATTTATCCTGTTAAAAAAGTACACGTAAAGAATTAAATGGTATATATTTTTTGCAGTAAGACAACTAGGAAAATTAATGCTGCTTGCACGCACATATGATTTGCAACAATGTTATCACAAAAGGGGGCAAATATATATATATATATATGTATACATATACGAAACTGTACATGCATATATAATGGCATTATTTTGTTTTATTCATTTATTTTTTTTTCCACTTACTATATTTGGGTGGTATATTTTTGTCAAGAACCGCACTTTTGGCGGCTCCATTGGGTATTGTTCAGGTAAAAATAATTCTAATTTGTACGTTCCACCTATTGCAAATTCGTCGATATGGAAAATGTAGATATATCATAAATGTGTATGTTGGTTTGGGGATATCATGCATATATCCTTGTGAGGGACTCGCACAGATTAATCATGTGTATACCACTATGTATGTGTATTACACTGGCATATGTGTGTAAAGTGTTCTATTATAGCCAAAAGATGGGGAAAATTTACTACATCTGTATGTAGATAAGCACTCATATATACACATGAATGATACAGAAAAAAAGAGGAACACGTTCAGAAAATAACTGTTTTGAATACCTTCATATGGAGTTCCTTCAGGGCCATTTATTAAAATGTCAAAGTGTCTGTAATTTTCAGGCACAGGAGCTGCAACTATGCCAGGTGCTGCATACGTAAAGAGATGAGATAAAAAAAAAAAAAAAAAAAGGTAATAAAATTGTTCTAAATTTGTAAATATATAGGAATACAAAGAAAGAGAGTGTGGCATATAATATGTAACTATGTGAGCATATCTATACACATTTGGGGGGGGGTAAAATGAAAAGTGCCACCATTGAATTATAAACTTGAATTCTTTATTTTTTTAATTACGTGGTTCATTTGCTAGGTTCTGTGTTTCTTTGGTTATTCTTCTAGGTATTGACATATTTTATAGTTTATTATGATATTTAAAAACACACAAAAAAAAAAAAAAAAATTGAGAAGCAAATGGAATGAAAAAAGAAAAAAAAGTGAAATGTATATATATTAACCAAAAAGAAAATAATGAAATATTTTCTTTAAAAACGAAACATTTGAACCGTTTAATTATGTTTAAAAAAAAGAAAAGATAGGTTATTTACATTTTTTTTTTTTGGGAAAGTAATTAAAAATTTTGTTTTTTCTCCTCTTTTTGTTATATCCACAAGAGAGCATATTGCAGTGCTTGATAAAATCATATTTACGTGAATATGGGAAACCTACTGTGCAAAATATAAATAGATTTTTTATATGCTCATATGAAATTATACATTTTTATATACATGGTTTGACGCCCCATTCATTTCGCTACTACCTTTCATGTAATTTATAATTGTGGTGTGCGTATGGGAGTTTTCACATATTTTGTTGTTTTTGCCTAGAGCGTTTACTTTTTTTATGATTGTATGGTTATACATACAGTACATTTTGATATATAATTACATATACATGCCACGTATAGCACTGAATTGTGCGATGTACACCTAAGCACCTGTACGAAGGGACATTACTCTTTTATGCCCTATTTTATGTACACCTACACAAATTATAAGAATGTATTTTATTATATACATTTCTGCTGCTAATACAATATTGCAATCATTTTTTTTTTTTTTTTTTTTTTCTTTTTTAACCATTTTTGATTTGTTCTTTTTTTTTTTTTTTTTTTAATTTTTTTCGCTTTGACCCTTATTTTTTTTCCATGTCCCCATTTGCACAGAATTTCAATGTGCTACACAACACAAACTCGTTCTAGCAAAATGAACTGCTGCGTTTTTACGAAACATATTTAACAACAGCTTAACTAAAAGGGTTTAATATTTTTTGAAGTATTAAAAGATTTATCCTTCCTTTGTCAAATTTCTTGAATTGTTAAAAAATGAAAAAAGAGAGAGTAAAAATATGTGTGTATATTACATTCGTATAAAATTATATATTTTTTTTATTTTATTTTTTTTTTTTTTGGGCTTGTACAAAGGAGAGCATACCCTAAATTATACCTGAATGTAATTTTAACCTATACACTTCATTTCCTTTTGTGTTGTTTTTCCCTTTTCTCTTTACATTTTGTTTCGTCCGAATTTATACGTAAATTTTAATCGTTCCGAATGCACACATGTGAACTCATAACATAACTTCAAGTGTGAAATAGTGACACACTAATAAATTAGTGACATGTGGCTAAATATACAATACACTTAGCCTATAGGAAAAGAGACAATTCTTCAACATTGACACGAATGCATTGGATATATTGATCTATTATTTTTTTTTTTTTTTTTTTTGCATGTGTAACAATAGAAGGAAAGGGTATTCACAAGAGCAAAAAATGGAAAAACAGGAAAATGTAGTATGATAATATGGCATTATCGTTAGAATTAAAAAAGGGGTAAAAAAATAATAGAGATAAAGAGGGACATAGGGAAAGTGGAGTTACGTTCGAAAAGGATTATGAATGATAATACGTTTGATATATGTATATATATATATATATTTTCTTTTCAAAAGAGTTTACGTTTTCATATATAAATCCTTTAAAAAAAAAATTTCGTTTTGTGTAAGAGCTTAAAATTATTTATGCTTCGGATGAAAATATTATCTATATCAACAGTAACGAACGATTACTAAAACGTAATATGTTTATGTATACGTGTATGCATAAGCTGCACGGTTACGGAATTTGCATGCACAAGCCACTCTTGGGTGGAGAATTCAAAAAAAGCTGCTATACATAAATAACGTAATGGATTTTTTTTTTTTTTTTTTTGGCACATAATTGTAATTCTCAAAGCTGTGGGAGGCAAATCCATAAGATAAGACATTTTTGTGATGATGTAAAAATCCATGCATCGAACACACATTTATATATACATTGGTTCTATATATTCAAGCAAATCATATGATGGGTCATTTTCCATATTCTTCAAACTCTGCTAGTGTACATGATAAGGTTTTCCTTTTATATAGTAATAATACAGCTATATTATAATCACTACAGCCTCCACATAAATCAAGGGAAGAATATTTATAAGTACTTACTTTGTCGTCATCCATTTTAAACCATAGTGAATCATTAGGATTTTTTGTTTTTTTATTTAATTGTTCTTTATCAGTATTGGTATCTGTGCCTACATATTTTCTCATTTTTTTCCAAGCAATATAATGTCCACTTTCTTCATTTCTACCTTTGTGGGTTATTATTGAAATTAATTCATATTCCCCTGTGGGTATTTCGTTTACTTCCCCCACAGGGTTATTATCCCGCCCATCTACATTCTCTGCATTCGTATGATTTTCAGCTATTACTTCCTCGCCCGTTTCTTCCTTTGGAACTTTGATTTGACTTTGGATTGCAGTTTCGATGTTGCTACTTTGGTTGCTCTGATTATTTCCTTTAGCAGTTTCTTCGTTTAAGACATTTTTTTCAGCAAAATCTTCAACGGCTTGAGTATTACCCATCCGAGCGATTAAATCGGCTTCTTTCCTTTTCATGATAATATTTCGAGCTACATTTAACCGAGCTTTCAGATCACTAGAGCAGAAGTCATAAATGTCAAACGTTTCTGGGAAACTTACTTTTCTGCAAATTTTAGCTGTTACTACAGAGACGGAATTATTTGGCTCCGATATTTTCTTTGATTCGAATCGTAAAAAATGAACAATTAGGTAAGGGGGGAGAGAAATAAGTTCTGATTTCTTTTCAAACAATGCATCTTCCTTATTATCTTCAGATCGTTGCTTTCTAATTTTTTCTATTAAGGACAATCGTATTCCTTCATGCATATGATTGACAGGGGTATTTTGAGTTCCCATATAGCAAATAAGTTTATTGTGAAATTCTTCTGTTGTTTCAGTATTTTGTGGTGTATTTGCACTTGTGGCATTGTTACATGTTATATTATCTCCGTCAGTCGCAACATCCTCTATGCACCTAAGAGTGCTGAGTACTTTGAATGAAAACAACTTGTCACTTATTTTAAATTCATTTTGTTCATTGAGTGATGTAAGAATGGCATTCATGCATTCTTCTGCATCTTGCTGAGCATACTGCTTCGTTTTTAAATTCACAGTTTTAAATTTTGGAAATACATCCCTAAAAGATTTTAATAATTCAAGTGGGACAAACGGTTCAGGAGATTTTCCAAAGGTTTGGGAAAAATGAATGTAAGAATCAAATAAAATGTCACTAGAAGATTTTAATGAATGTTTTTCTTTTCTTTTTATATTCCTAAGAAATTCACCTAAATCATCAAAAGAAGTTAGAAATTGCAACACGGCATTAAAATAACATGTATTTCCTAAATTCACAATACCTTGATCTTCAAAAATGATATTTTCTTTTGCATGTAATTTTTCCTTATCCTCTTTTGATAAATCTTCCACAAAAATTACTTGCGTAGGCCTTTCTATTAATGTTTCGGAGGATCCTACTAGCATAATTTTGTCATTATTTTTTATGTTTAGAGTTGACAGATCTGTATCATCTTTAATAAGTCCCTTGTACATTAGTTTTTGCTTTTCTGGAGGAACGTTTGTGAGTTTCCTGGGGAAGGAAGTAAATTAGTGGATCATACAAAAATGAGCATTTCGTGCGGAAAAAGGCGTATGAGAAGTAAATGAAAAGGTACATAACTCCACAGTCTTCTGACACATTCCCTTAAAGGGAAATAAAAAGTGAAATAGAATTTTCATTACATAAGAACAAAGACTGTTTCGTCCAGTTGTGTCAGTATCAGAGTATGTGTTTATGTGTGTATGTGTGTGGGGAACTTTGTTCCTTTTAAGAATTAAAACAGAAATGCCACACCAGTTTCTTCGTAAAAATATTAAGTAGGGGAAAATAATAAACAAGTAATTTCAGGTAGGTTCACCTATTCACATGTCTATATACACATGTGTATATGCATATAAAAGGGTAAGGTGTTTTCCCTTAAAATTATTTTATCATTTTGAAATATGAGCACAAAAGTATTTTTTTTCGTAACATTCTATTATTCTTTTGTTATGTAGTTTTCTTATATATATATATATATATAAGTCATCACATCGAAATATGAGTTCATATGAATACTTTTCTTTTCGTACTTACCACAACTTCTCCTTGAAGGACATGAGTGATTCACCTGTGTTTAGTTGTAGATCGTTGTAAACATGACTTTTCCATTTTACTGTTACATTAACTATTGTCATTTTTATTTGGGGTATATGAGGGGGTGAGTGGGGAGGGATTTATATGCTTATATAAAGCTTTGGTAATATATACTAAATGTAGTGTAACGAAAAAAAAAAAATTTTTAAAAATAAAAAACACACTTTGAAAAATTCACAGAAAAACAAAAAAAAAAAAAAAAAAAAAAAAGGAAGGGAAAGTTATTTAATTGTAGCTTATTATGAATGTTAAAAAAGGGCTTCTTGCACCTTTAATTGACAATTCAAGTAGTGGCATTTTTGCATATTTATTCTTGTTAATGTAATGAAAACAGTGGACTTTAAAAAAAAAAAAAAATTAAATAAATATGTATATATATACGTACACAAAATAAATAAAGTGCGGTGTATCAATTATTTGAACATTGAATTTTATTTTATGTGTTGAATTTTTCCTCTTATCATTTAATGCAAAAGTGAAAGAATTAAGAGGAGAAAACAGCAATAACAACTGAGGTCACATAAGATATAGTGACGAGGAACACATTTGCAAGTTGTAACAACAAGTTTTGTTAAAATTTTTAAAAAGATATCGCCCAAATTATGCAAAAGAAGAAAAAACACAACAAAAAGGAAAGGTTTAGTGTAGCGTACATGCACATATATCATGCATAACAATAGTACTCAATTAAAAAAAAAAAAAGAAAAAGAACCCAAATTATAAGGACTACACAATTTTAACAATTTCTGATGATACACAATTTTAACTATTTTCTGATAATACACAATTTTAACCATTTATGATGATACACAACTTTAACCATTTATGATGATACACAATTTTAATTGTGATTTTAATTTTATTTTTAAGACTAATAGTAAAACCTGTAATACCTGAATAAGCAATCCATATGAGAAAAAAAAAAAAAAAAAAGTGAAAAATTAAAATTAGAACATTTATATTTTTTACCTTTTTCTTACTTGCTTGTACACATAATTATTTTAAAGAATTCTCAAGTATATAACTATCTGAAAAAGGAAAACTATAACCTTTTAACCCATATTAGCATGGCCAGTTATATAATGATGAAAGCAATTTCTGCAAGTTTGGAAAAAGAAGTTTAACCTTACACCTAATAAGTAGATTAGAGTTAACACAATACAAGGGTACTGTGAAAAGAAGAAAAATCTCAAAGGTATAGGAATGAAAAAGAAAGAACAAAATAAACTTTGTTTTTCGCCCTGTTTAAAGGGCAAGGCGACAAGAATGATAGAATTTCCACCTATTAGTGGATAAAAAAAAGAGTGAATCTTTATGTACGCAAATTGACCGATTTATGGCATGGAAACATACATACTTATGTCTAAACACACACTTATACAAAGTGAGACCATATATTATAAATGCCTCCCCTGGCATTTTGCAAGCATGAATTAAAATGTTGCGTATTGAAAAATAATTAAAAAATGATAAACAAAACGGAATACAAAAAAAAAAAAAAAATAATAATAATAATAAAATAATAATAACAGAATAGTAATAATAACAAAATAGTGATAATAACAGAATAGTAATAATAACAAAATAGTAATAATAACAAAATAGTAATAATAACAAAATAGTAATAATAACCGTGAAGAATTGTTTTAACTACATTTCTAAAAAAATAATAACTCTTATCTTTTTCTGCAAAGTAGGCAAATATAAAAATAAAACATGGTGCTTCAGTGAAAAGTGTTTTAAGAGTAGAAACTGCTTATAGTAGAGGTGAACCATAAGCAAGAAAGTACAATTGTAACGAATCAAAATAGGAATATAATCTTTCCAAATATAAGAAATTGTTACGTTTATTAAATATAACGCAGGAGAAAAAATAGTAACACGTAGAAAAATTTGAACATTTTGTATAGAGGGTTCATTGGTTTGCCTTTTATTTTTCCCCTATAAGAATATATACAAATGTAGGTATGTATATATGGACCCATAAAAATTATTTTTTCCTTCGAACTGATGTTCCACTGCCCTTAATTACAGTTTGTTAATATTTCAGCACAATTTTGTTGAACCAGAATGGTGTGTTCCCACTGTGAACAAAACGAATTGTCGTTAGTGCAAACTGTCCACTGATCTTTCCATGTATGAATATTTATACTACCTTCAGATAATATTGGCTCGATTGTAAATATCTGCCCTTTTTTCATACACTCATTATTGTCGTGACTATTCGGGTAATGGTGTTCAATTAAAGGATACATATGCATATTACGTCCAATGAAATGTCCACAAAAATCTCTTATGACATTAAATCCATTTTTTTCTGCATGCTCAGTTATTACTCGTCCAATTTCAGAAAACTTCTGGCCATGTCTACAAACAGATATAGCTTTGTAAAGACATTCTTTGCTTACATCAACTAATTTTTGGTGCTTTTCAGAAATTTCTCCTATTCCTATAGTTCCTGCGCAATCCCCAAATACTCCGTCGACATAAACAGTACAGTCATATGTTATAATATCACCTGATTTTAATTTACGTAAATTTGGAATTCCGTGGCAGACAACTAAAAAGTGGACATGAATAAAAAAAAAAAAATAAAAATAAAATAATAAAATAATAAAATAAAACATTTCCAAATTGGTGTGTATCATTATGATTACGTTGCCTTAACAAATGTTCAGGACAATCTCAATACACAGTACAAAAGGAATGAAAAAAAACAATGCACAATGAATAATACAATAATTTAAATGTGATAAATCAAGATAAAGACAAAAACAATATACCTTCGTTTGGGGAAGCACATAGTGTTTTTGGAAAGCCGTGAAAATTAATACCTGCTGGATAGGCATTATTTTGTATGTAAAAATCAAAGGCCATTTTATCTATATCATCCGTCGTTACTCCTTCCTTTGAATTTTCTAAGCACAACTTCAAACATTCAGATGCTATTTTTGCAGCCCTTTTCATTTTAATAACACTTTCTTCATCTTTAATTTCGTATTCAATATTCGAATTTTGAACAATCCCCGTTTTAGCATAATGCGGAGGAATAATATGTTCAGGGACCTTTTGAACTGGTGTTATATCATATTTGCCTTTAAAAAAAAAAAAAAAAAAAAAAAAAATTGTGTTTTGTTAATGAAATCTCTAAGTTTAATTTAGTTCCACATTTTAGAACGACTTTTGCGAATTGTCAACATTTTCTGCCCATTTTTGCATATATTCCATGGGAATTTAATGATATGGCGAAATTTTCTACATGTAGGGACATTTTCTCGAAAAAATATTTTGAAAGTTGTACCCTATGGGTGTATATTGTTCACACTCATGTATGCACGAACATGTGTAAATAGCAGTATTATGTTATAAAACACATATTTGTTTCTCGAAAACGAGGCGAGAGTGGATGTAACTGATTGTATGAGCATCACTGTATGAAAAAAAACAAATTGGACAGAATAAAAATAAAAAAATAATAAAGTGTTCATATTTTTTTTTTTTTTTCTCATACACATTTAATATATATACTTGCTTCGAATTAAATGAACATGTCCAAATGGAATGGGATATATTTTTTTTTACATATAAAAATACGAAAAAAAAAAAAAAAATTATAAAAAAGAGTTATTCTTTCATGGAAAATGTTGCTGGTCATTTGGCAATTCATGTTGTGACAGAAGAATGGACAAGTTAAAAAAAATTTAAGTAAAATTGAAAATTGTTACTACAGGCGAAAAAGTTTAATTTTCCATTACACATTTTGCTATTTCACTTAATGAACATGTTCATCTCCTTGTACAGCTTTCTTTCCTTCTTTCAAAGAAAGCTTAATTAAAAGTATACACGAGATTAGTTAAATGGGACATAAGTATATTATATACACAATTAAGCATGATGTGTCATTCTGTGTTGTTCTTCATGCGTTTGATAACGCTACATTCAACAATATTAAAACATTTCACATTGAAGGTATAGTCGTTTCCTTTCCTATAATTTTTTTTTTTTTATTTACCATCTTCTAGTGTCGACTTAAAAGAACCCCTTTCCGAAACCTTAATTCTATTTATTTTGGGAGTTAAGACATGGGTGTGAAAATTTAGTTTCATCTTTTGTAAAGTATGTAATAATTTATACATGGTGATTCTTTTTCTTAAATATGACATTTTAAAATTGATTAATATTTACTTTTACAAATATTCTATGCATTTTTTTTTTTTTTTTATTTCTTTAGCTTGTATGTAAATATGCATATTATATTTTTTACTAATAAGTGGGCTACTAATATATAAGTGTCCATAAAAATGAATGCGCATTATATATGTATACATATATATATTATATAAATATATTAGTTTTTCGTATTATTTAGACTCAGACTCTTATTTAATCTTATTTTGTTCATCTTTGTGAAAAAAAAAAAAAAAAAAAAATACACTTTTTTATTGAATGTGGATGATTCATTGAAAGAGCCCAAAAAAAAAAAAAAAAAAAAAAAAAGGAAAAAATAATGCCTTCAATAAATTTATTAAGTTTATCAAATAACGCCCTGAAGAAAAATTGTTTATATATTAGATAAAATATATTATATGTATAATGGCATTTTTTTAATACATTTTGTTTTTGTTTTTTTTTTAAATCCTTGCAAAAATAAAAATGCTGAAAGAAAAAGGTTCAAAAAATAATATATATATATATATTTAAATATATATCCTTTCGGAGACTATAATTTTTTCAGCAAAGAAAGAAAAAGAGGGTTCATTATAATAATGTATATATATACCCCCCTATAAAAATATATCATATTTTGCAGCGACGAAAGCATAATAAGAACACATATATATATATATATATATGTAATGTATGAATATTTTTTACAATTCATAAAAAACATTTTTCTAAAAGAGTTTTTATTTCTTAAAAATATTTAAAAAGCTTATAATGATTATACAAAATTACATATGCTACCATCGCAGTAGTTATACATAAAGTTCTTTAATTTAAAAATTTTTATCTTATTAGAAACTATCACAAAGATTTAATTATTTAAAATAATTTCTTAAAACCGAGTTTAAAGAGGTCCTTTTAACAAAATTTTATATTCATAGTAATATAATTTCAAGAAAAAAGTTAAATTTCAGCATATATTGGATTCTCCTAAATGATTTTTTTTTCAATTCTTTGAAGAAATTTGTTTTCAATTTTTGAAGTATAATAATTACAAGCTAAAATATATTATAATAACCGTACATCAATATGAATATATATACACTTCATGTATTAATATATGCGCATACATGAACATAAGGAGACGAGTTGCATAAATTTCTTTTATTACAATTTTAGTAGTAAAAAAAGAAGGGAAGGCGTTCTATTTTCTTATATCTAGAGACACCGTAGATTTAACAAAGTGTAAATACCAACACCCTTAGATTAATGTAGTGTGAAATATATATACGAAGCATCTTTTGGGTTGGACTTCATTTTTTCGAGCATTAAAAGTGATTTACTTTCGTAAGGGCTTCAAGAATTTGTTCAAAAAAAAAAAGGAATTCGCATTTTTGTCACGATATTGTAAGCATATTTGTTCTAGCTTGTGTTACCAGATTTACGATTACATGTACTATCATAATTATAACCGAAGTATAATCAAAGAAGGAAATCCATAACAATATAACACACTCAAAAAATAAATCATAAGAAAAATAACAGAGTTTTTAAGAGCACTGAAACGTATTTATACAATATATATAGTAGAATATTATAGTATTAGTACTGCTATATAATTTTATAATACAATATATAAAAAGGTTACATATCAAGTTCTACAAGAAATTTCATCCCGGAATGTTTAAGGGAGTACAAACTACTTCAAATAATAATCAGCTTTACACAGACGTGTTAACATATTATTATGTTTCTAAAATACAAAAAATTTTCAAACAAAAAAAGAAAGAAAAAATGTCCTAGCAAAAACTAATTTCTTAGAGTTTTCTTCACGGTTTTATTTTTTTTACACGGAGAAAACATATCGCAACGCAAAAAGCTGAAGAAGATATAAAAAAAAATATATATGTATATATATATATACATATCAAGGATAATTTAAACTAAGATCTAATTCTTTACAGGACTATTTTTATTTTAAATAGTACTCCCACTATATATACACTTGTTGACAATATAGTAAAAAAAAAAAAAAAAAAAAAAAAACCAATAAATAGAAAGATAGAAAATTTCATTTATTTTTTAAGATTATCTTATTTGGAGAAAAAATATTTGCTGTAATAATAAATACTTTTAAGAAAGGATGGATGTGCATTTTGACATATCTAATGAATTGATTTAAATTGAAGAAAAGACGCATGTTAGCAGAGCTACACAACTTTTTTATTGTTTTTATATTTCCATTCCATTATAGATAAATTATTACTTCTTTGACTATTGTCATTCCCTTATAATAATATTTTTACAAGATTGTTACAAGATTGTTACATGATTGTTACATGATTGTTACAAGATTGTTACATGATTGTTACAAGATTGTTACATGATTATTACATGATTGTTACATGATTATTACATGATTGTTACATGATTGTTATAGGATTGTTACAAGGTTATTTTTTTTGTTTTTGATTTTTCCTTTTTTTTTGTTTTTTTCTGTATATATTCAAATTCAGCCAAGCTAGCTGCGTTGATATTTTATTTTTTATGTACACGTATGTCCTTGTATATACATACGCAATCATACATATGTGTAGTCGGTACATATTGTTTTGCATATATATTTGTCCCTATGTAAATTTACTATTTTTTTCACTATTGTTATGTTTCCCTATTCCATAAATATAGTGCACACATATGTACTTGTATGTATATACATGGGTCATATTGGGGGAAAATAAGGTTCCCGAGTTGTTGAAATAGGAGAAAAAGCATATTTGTAAATATACGCTTTTACATTTTTTTCTCTTTTTTTTTTTTTTTTTTCTATGACGTGTTGTTCATACGTATACGAGTATATATAATGTACCCAATCCACCCCTTATATGCTCGAAAATTGATGAGCTTGAAGATTCATATAATAATAATATAGAAGGAATAGAACATTACACTCAGATTCATAACTACAGAAACACAATCCCCCCCCCCCCCGCTTTTCCCGTCTAGAATTAAATTTTTTTTCACATCGTTTACTTAAATGAATGAATTTTGTGTTATAAGAAACGATGATGAAGGAATATATTTTGCAAGTAACTCTAAAGATTTTACAGGTTCAGATAAATCAACAAAAATATGTACACAAGAGGAATCCAACAATGATGATATAATTATTTTTAACAATTTTGATGGAATTCGTGAGGAGAAGGAATTAAATGAAAATATTATTTGTGTATATGGAAATACTTTTAAAAAAACCCAAAGAATTATTAATGATGAAGGATACGTTGTGAATGAAAGATGTAAGTCTGCTTATATTCTCAAAATTAATGAAATTAATTTAAAATACATTCTTCGAGTTACGGCTGATTGTTGCTCATTTTTGTGTGCTGTTGGAATTTGGGGAATTTTAGAGGATATTTTACGTATACTATCAAATGAGAATTTTTATGCTAAACTTTACTATTATATAATTTTCACTATTCTTTTTATGTCCTTCACGTGCTCATTTAATTTATACCTTTCAAAGAGTGAACAAAGAAGTGGATACAATTGTGAAGACATGGAAAGTCACGTATGAATGAGAGGAAGTGTGTGGAGTTAAAATGAAAGGATAAAATTGGAAAGGTATAAAAAAAAAAAAAAACAAGAGGAAACACTTGTGAAATAATAAAATAAACGCATAAGGACAGAAAGAAGCATGCTTAACCAATAACCCAATTTTAAATAATACTTTTTTTTTATGCCTCACATATATCACACTATATAAAGCATCATTGTTTATGTATGTTAGACACATGTAATGATATACATGTATATTTATAAAATACCCATACTATATTTTTTTTTTAATATATTCCACTTAAACATTGACATAACAATATTTAAAGGCTATTTTTAATATTTTGACACTTTCGTTACAGTTATTATTCTTTTACGATTTTTGATATTTTTCATTTTTTTTATTTTTTCTTTTTTTTCTTTTTTCATTTTTTTGTTGCGTTGTCGAATATGAAGTGAATTTCGTGCTCGATTATCTTACATGTTTATTTGTGTACAACACAGGCTTTATACATATTTTATGATAAATGTTGTGCATACGTAAACTGAAACGCACAAGAACCTTTTTCGTAAAGGTTAAAAAATAAAATAGTAATGGTAGTAGCGGAAAATAAAAACAATAAGATGTTTGGCATTCTTTTTTCCTCTATAACGTTACCAGAAATGTAAATTTAAAAAAAAAAAAAAAAAAAAAAAAAGCACATAAGTGTTATGTGTCTGTCTGGAGCACAATAAGCACAAATAAGGTTTAACAAACATGGAGTTATTATCTCCTTTAGCCGTCTGAATGGAAAAAGAAGAAAATGAATCAGCACATAAAAAGGATTGCTGCGATGACGCGTTGAGTCGGGTATATTTGTGAGACGTTCATATGCAGAAAATGGATCATTTGAAATGATGGAATTTGATGAAAAAATGGATTTTTTGAAACACCAGAAAAATAAGAAGACTTCCCACTTAAAAAATAAGTGTTGCTTGAGGTATTACTTATTTATGCGCTCTGGATATTTACGAAAAGTAGGTTGTTATATGATACATAAAAATAATGCTCATATATTAGGTGTGTATATATTACAGCAAATATTTTTTTCATAGGGGCCCAAATTTTATATATCCCAATATAGACCTTTTCTTCGACCTACTCTCTTTCCATTTATCTTAATAAAAGATGAACATTTATTTGCAAAAATAGGGGTTAACGGGTTTCGAATATTTTCGACATAGGCATAAGAACATGTTCTTACATTCCTACATATGTAACTAAGTACTCATATGTAATAATACATAATGGCATGCATATTAGGTAACCTTATTGTTTACGCTATTTATCAAAAATGGAATTGAGGAAATTTTTGTTTTCCAAAAATAAAAATTGTCAAAACTGTTGTTTTTGTGTTCCTTAAAAGTGAACTCTTATTTTTTTTAAAAATTCGATAGATCAATACCTAAAATGAGATAAAATTTTGTGAAAATTATTTTTTGCGACTCTGCCGGTTATATAATAAAAATCCCCCTACTACAATTCACAAACAAACCCTTTAAACATTTTTTCTCCTCCAACACCGCGTGCCTAGTTTAAATTTTGAACACAGCGTAAACATGCATACATATTTAATAACAAACATAATGTTCACGATGCCAAAAGAAATTCATTTATACACTTCTGGCTCCATAGATATATACGTGGGACCTCTCTCTCAAGAAGATTTTGCTTTTTTTTTTTTTTTTTTTTTTTATTCATGTTAATATATATATATAGATATGTACATATATGCATACGTATGATGTAAGAATGGGACTAATAGAAGGTGCATAAACAAACACTACATGTTTCTAAGCCTATAAATTACTTACCAACGGCCTTTCCATACATGTTATTTCATAAAAAAAAATTTTAGTGCTTTTTGAAGAGAAAAATTCGATGGGGGTATTTTATCGTGGTTGAGGATGAATGGTTTGAAGGGTATGTCATGCATAAAATGTACATATATGTTTTATCACATTAATTTGTGTACTTGTGCATATATGTTACGAATGTGAATAAAATATAGAGTGGTGGCTTCCCCGGATATACGCTATATATAAATATAAAACACTTGTATTGTCATTTGGCATACATATATATATAATAGTATGAAAAAACGAAGGGACTTATATCATATATTTTTACAATTCCACATTAACTTTTAAGCAAACAGAAGAAACTAAAATAAAAAAAAAATTTACTCAGGAATTAATTTCTTACATGTTACATTTTAAGAGTTAAAAAATTTATATTCCTTCACTTATTTATAACAACATTTTATATATTTTGTTTTGAGCTTGTTGAAAAAGCATAGTCTTGAACAAATCCCCTTTTCAACGTCAAGCAAGTTTATTTTTGTATTTATGAAAAGGCTTACCATAATTCTTAATTCATTCAATTGTTGAAGAAAAAAAAAACAAAAAAACACAATTTTTCACCAACTTTTTTTTTTTTTTTTTTTTTTTTTGATGCGCTTAAAACAATGGATGTTAAGAAAAGTAAGATTTGAGAGGAGCTTCCAGTTAGAACAATTTGAAAAGTTTACAAATTCATACACATATTTCCTACATGTTTACCTGTACATATATATATATATATATATATATATATATATATACATTTTTTGTTTATTAAATTCCCCATGATTACATAACAAATGACATAAATGTAGCTATAAGCATTAAGTAACATACGAAATGTTGCAAATCTGTAAAGCGAAAAGCAATATCTGTTATTTAATAATTGTATCAGATTTACCTCTTCCACATGTGTCCTATTTTGTATTTTATTTGGACTTATTTTATGTTTTAAATTGATATGATCACGATATAGTTATGTTATTTCGTGTAAGGTGTAAATATGTATATTTGTGTACATTTTGTTCTGTATATAACAGAGTGTAGGGAGAAGTGTCCATTTGTTATACTACATGTTGAAAATACAATGATTAATTCATTGTTTTAATAGTATACCTTGGATTTATTAATATATTTTTTCTTCTTTCTCTTACTGCAGTTGAAGAACTGAAGCAGTTTATTTCTCAGTGCAAGGAAGATCCATCCATTTTGCAAAAACCC